ATTAAATGATATCAGAAAATTTTCATGAGAATATAACTGTTACCTCTATGGAGTTATTTGGAATTGGTTTTGATCTTAAATCTAAATCAATAGATGCATTAGTAAAAATTCTTTATAAGAATTCTATTTTGACTTCTTTAAATTTAAATCATATTAATATTGGATTAGTTGAAGGAAAAGCTTTAGCTAATGCACTTTGCAAGAATACCACGCTTATCTTTTTGAATCTTTGAAAGTGTGGTCTTAAACCAGAAGGAGGAAAAGCATTAGCATATGCACTTTGCAAGAACATCACTCTAACATCTTTAGATCTTAGCATGAATTATCTTGTACCAGAGGGAGAAAAAGTATTCACAGATATACTTTACAAAAACACTACTCTAACTTCTTTAAATCTTTATCATAATGCGATTAAATAAGAAGGAGAAAAAGCATTAGCTGATGCACTTCACAAGAATGCTATTTTGACTTATTTAGATCTTAGTTATAATAGACTTGAACCAAAAAGAGGAAAAGCATTAGCTAATGTGCTTTGCAAAAACACCATGCTGACTTCTTTAAATCTTAGTCAGAATTATCTTGGACTAGAAAGAGAAAAAGCATTAGTTAATGCACTTAGCAAGAATGTCACTCTGACTTCTTTGGACCTTCAAATGAATAATCTTGGATTAGAAGAAGAAAGAGCATTAGCAAATGCACTTTGCACAAACACTATGCTAATTTCTTTAAAACCTGGATGCAATAATTTTTAATTAGAAGGAGAAAATCATTGTCTGTTGTAGTATTAGAAATCTATTTTGAGATTTATATCCTCATGAGAACAAATTTATTTATTTAATAAAATTTATAGTAATGCTTTTATTCTATACATAAAATGCTAAACCCATCTTAATACTAGTTTTAAAAGACAACTAATTTTTCTAAAGCACATTTCAAAATCAAGATAAAAGCAAGATAAATTATTTAAATAATAAAATAATAATAGATAATAAAATATTGTAAAAATAACTATACCAATACTATTAAAATACAAGATAATCAACTAAATTAATTTTTGCTACTCATATATAAATCATATGACAATAATTTATTATTTATACTAATGAAAATAAGGATCTAAACCTAAAATTTAAAATAAAATAAAATGCATAACTATAAAGAATTTATGATATATTTGACAAACAGTAAATCATTATTTCTAGTAAGGTAATTTATAATAACTCTATTTATGGAAGCAATTAAATAATTTATACAAATCAATTTTAAGAATTTTTAAAATATAACCAATGTCATCACCATAGCATTTCTGTTATGATAACATGATCATAAACGTAAATTTTTACCAAAGGCTCAATTTTTGTTAGAAAACACAAGATTTTATTTTAATATCAATAAAAAAAGAGAAAATAAAATTGCGTAAGTAACTTTACAAGACAAATTTACTATGAAGCAGGCTTTTTTTTTTTTTTTTGCACAAGTATTAATTTTAAGCAATATAAAAAATGAAAATAATAAATAAATTATCAAAAAAAAATATCAATAATTTTTTATTTTGGCCAACAAAAAATTAAATCTACTAAGAACCAAAAATTATTAGTGCTTTAATTTAGCGTTTAAATAATTATTTTATAAAAATCAAATTTTTTGCATAAAATAACTACAAGTTTAGACACATGATGAATAAAAAGTTATAAATACAACCTGAATATGATAAAAAATTTTTGGGGCCATGCTCAGAACTATCTTGATAATCAGCATGCATAGCTCATATTTACTGATAAGATAATAATAAGATAATATAAAAATATTTCATGAAATCCTTTCTGCATTAGTGTAAAAGAAAATGTGGCTGATCACGAGAAAGATCTCAACAAATAATTAAGATGTCTGATGCTAATTATAAACTTTATTAGAAGTGATCTTTTGTATGCTGATGAAGAAAGATAAAGAGGAGTTAAATAAAAAACAGGCTGCTTTATCTAACAATTGAGCAGTTTTTTGTTGACTATTTGCAAGAATATATAATTTTGATAATAATAATCATGGTTTACAAAAATGTATATAATTTTTTATTTTATTTTAATTCAATAAATTTATAGAATTAAAATAAAAAATTTTCATCAAATTTAAATCAATAGTTTTTGAAAAATCTTTGTTAAGTTAAAAAAAAAAATTAAAATTTTACTGTTTTTTTTGTAAACTTTGAATACTTTTTAAAATTTTTAGTGAAGATTTCTCAACAACTATCTATTAAATTTTAATAAAAATTTTTTATTTTAAAAGTATAAAATAAAATAATTTTTTTTTTTACTAAGTTTAATCAAGTAGTTTCAGAGAAATATTTACTAAAATCTTGAAAACTTTTAAAAATTTAAAAGGATTATTAATTTATTTATTTTGATTGGCTGTTTATATCATGTGATCAAGTAATTAATCAGTGTTATACAGACTGTCTATGAGCACGTACCAAATCACATGATTTTGCACGTACTAAATATCACGTGATATAAATATACGTAAGTTGTTAAAATAAAATTTTTCTTATATTTTGGTCAAATTTTCTCGACAATTAACTAACAGAACTTAATGAAATTTTTTTAAAGTCAATTCTATAAATTACTGAGATTTTTGTAAAACATTTTCATCGAATTCTATCAAGTAGTTGCCAAGAAACTTTGATTCAAAGTTTGAAAAATTTACATTGCCTTTTTAAAAAAATAGTTTCACAAAAAATTTCTAAACTTTAAATGAAATTTCCTCAATGCCTATCTGATAGAATTCAATAGAATTTTTTCAAATAGCCTCTACAAGTTAATAAGATTCATTAAAAAAATTTTTATCAAATTTTAACAAGTGTTTGTTGAGATAATTTCATTCAAATTTTGGAAAAATTTTACTGCCCTTAAGAAAATAGCCACGACAGAAATTTCCCAAACTTTGACCAAAAATTTCTCAGCAACTACATGATAGAATTCAGTGAAATTTTTTTTAAATAAATTTTGTTAAATATTAGAATTTATTAAAAAAAAGTTTATCAAAATCTATCAAGAAGTTGTCAAGAAATTTTGTTTAGAAAAATTTCTGTCATGGTTATTTTTTTAAGGAGCAGTGAAGCTTTTTTCAAAATTTGAATACAATTTTCTCAACAAACACTTGTTAAAATTCAATGAATTTTTTTAAAATAAATCTAATGTTTCGATCTGCAATCTGATTAATTCAGATTGATTTGATAATTTGGATTAAATGCAGATATCTGTATTCCTTAATTTTATATGGATAAATCCTTAATGTATTTCAGATAAAGGATAAGGATTATCCAGATAATAATCCGATACATATATACTTTTATTATTGGTGAGTTAATATAGTGCTTAATTTAATTACAATCATATTGCCTTTTAAGTAGAGCATATGTAATAGAAATATTAAAATTCTTATGCAGTCTGGTTTAAATAATGTATGCTAATTTTCAACTACATGACCTGCTTGAAAAATTCCAATTCAGGATAAAGGCTGAACTAATCAAAATAACAAAATGTATTACTCGAACAAGAATAATCAAAGTACATGTCATAGTTTATTTTTTTAATGTCAAAAAACTTCTTAAAAGCCGAATTAATCTAATTATTTTCAAACAGCAAAATTCTAAAATTCTGAATTGTCAGAAATGTGCTTAATTTAGTTTTTTGGGGGGCCAAAAACTGGTAAATTACAAATTTTATTGTTTAAATTTGAACATGTCTTTTACACCCCGATAACTAACCTTTTTCAATTCACTCATTTTCTCAGACTGACCATATATGAGCGCAATTAAGAAAAACCTGCCATTGCTTTCAATTGTATTTTATACCCCTAATAATTTAGACTAATTGAGTCTGGTACAAATATAATTGAAAGCCCGATGACAGGCTTTTCCTTGACGGCTATCATATGAGGAATGGCTAGAATGGCTTTCTGAATCAATTGGTCTTTTTTTAAAATATGATTAATCTAAAATCGATTTGCTGATTTTTTTAATTATCAGTAAGGGCTGATTTCCTCTAGCGCCTTGCTTTTTTTTAACAGATCAATCTAAAATCAATTTTCTGATCTTTTTAATTATCAGCAAGGACTAATTTCCTCTAGTGTCCTGCTGTGATTAATCTAAAATCGATTTGCTAATTTTTTTAATTATTGGCAAGAGCTGATTTCTCTAGTATTTTGATATAAACTTTTCACCAAGTTCAAGTATACATCCTGTGCTATCTCTTAGTTAAGTAGATTTCTTGTTTACTGGTGGTAGAATTCTAGAAATTATAATATTTTATTATAAAATTGTATAGGCTTAATCATAAAATATATAATAAATGAAATAAATAATCAATAAAGCTATTAGACTTCTAATAAAATGGTTTTGTTTTTATATACACATTAAAGTGTTTAAAACTTATCTGATAAGTTAATTAGTGATCTACCAGTCAACCAGAAAATAATTATAGTAAAAAGTGACTCAAATTACTTATAAAAATTGGGGTCTCCAAATGTGGCGTGTATGCATCTAAACTTTTTTATACTATGTTAATAACCTTTCTAATTTAAGAGACTTTTGTAGAGCTTGTCAAGACACATCTAATGGTTAGAGCATCAAAATCGGCTTGGTAAGTGCCAAGATATCTTTTAAAAATGGTTCTTTTACTATGTAAACTTCTTTGTAAACAATACTATTATTTGCAAAGAAGTTTATATAGTAAAAAAAATGTTTTTTAAAGATATCTTGGCATTCACCAAGCCGATTTTGATACTCTAACCACCATTAGATGCATATTGACAAGCTCTATAAAAGTCTCTTAAATTAGAAAGGTGATTAACTTACATTTGGAGACTTCCAATTTTTATAAGTAATTTGAGTCACTTTTTACTATGATTATTCTCTGGTTGACTGATAGATTACCAATTAATAATAAAACCTAGTAATTCAATATTTGTTAGTGTTTTTTTTTAAGTGTTGTATATATGCCACAATGGATCCTTATAATATAGAAAATAATTATGAACATTATTATAGCAATGGCTCTGAATCTGATGAAAATTCAGAAACCTCGCCAGAAACCCTTTACTCGTCTGAAATTACAAGGCCTAACATTCAAACAACATTCTCAGAAAAAGAAAAAGGTGTTAAAATATAAATATAATAATAGCTAATATAAATATGAATATACTAATAAGTTTAAATTTTGGTTTAGTCAATAAATCAAGAAAAAAAAACAATACAAACATAAACAACCATCTTTTACTTGTGAATATTTTGAAAAAATGGTTAATAATCAAGGTGAAGAAGTTTAGGTTTGCAAAGTTATGGATAAACATGGTATAAAATGTGGCACAGAATACAAGAATTTTGGAAGTTCAACAGAAAATTTTATTACGCACCTTAAAGATATTCATGAAATTGTTTTACAGAATGGAGTGAGAGTTTTAAAAGAGGCATGTAAAATAAAATTTAAAGTAGAATTAGATATAAAAATAATGAAAAGATTTATAAAGTTTTTTTTTTATACTTTTTTTTTTAGCCCCGAAATTCTAAAATTACTGACTTTGTATAAAAAGCTCATCTCCATTCTAAAAGTATTCAAAAAAAGCATGAAGAAGCAATTCTTAAATGGATGTTACTAACAAACCAGCCTCTTTCTACGGTTACCAATGAAGCATATAGAGAAAAAATAAACGAGTTTGATCTCACTTTTATTATGCCAAAAAAGAAATAAATTAGAACAATGATTGTTAAAAGTTATAAATATAATAAAGAAAATTTACAAAATTTTCTTACCACAAGAGCAGAAAATATTTCTATGCCTGATTGCACCAAAATTTGAGATTAAAGATGTAATGTTAAAAAATAAATATGTTTCTTTGCCACATACTAGTAAAGTAATTGCTGATGAAATTTATAAGTGTATTGAAGCTTGGAATCTTGGACATCGCATCATATTAATCACTACTGATAACGGGTCAAACATGGTCACAGCTTTCCTTTTACTAAACCAAAAAGACCAATGTGATGAAATTAATGTCATTTGTGTACAGCCCATACTCTTCAATTGGCAATCGGGAAAGGACTTGCACCAGCTGAAATCTTAGTAGTACGTACAAGAAGATTAGTTTAATTTTTTCAAACTTAAAAACAAATAGAACGACTAGAAGAAGTGCAAATAAAGCTAGATTATATGGATGTTGTATGTTGTATTCAAGACATATCTACAAGATAGAATTCATCATATTATTTCTGGGATCGCCTTTTTTTTTTAAAGGATACTATTATTCAACTTCAAGCTAATTTATATATATCAGTTGATAGAGAGAGTAAAAAAGATGGTAGTAAGTTAAAAAAAACTTCTTCTTTCAGATGAAGAATGAGAATTATTAGACAAACTTATAGATCTTTTGATACTATTTGAGGAGGTGACATGAGATTTTTCAGAAAATACTTATGTAACTTTAAGTAAAGTAATCCCCACTATTAAAGAAATAATTTATGATTTAGCAAGTACTATCTAATTATAATCTTTTTTTGAATGATGATACTGTATTTGAATTGGAGACAGAAGGAATGCAACCTATCCCTTAAGCTGTAGAGTTCGTGTAACATTTTAGCTTAAAAATAGCATAAATTTAGTTATGATCTATTTTTTTTAATATTTAAAATATTTAAATAAAATAATATTTGAAAATAAGGATTATCTTTTTATAGTATTTATATTTATATTATAAGAAAAAAATTTTAAGTTACTTA